AGCGGGGCTGCCGTAGCTCTTTGCTTAGAGAAAACTTACAACGGTCACCGACCTTATGTTCTACACTATAGCCAGTACAAGTGTAGCGGATTGCAATCCGCTACCTCCAGGAGTACCCAATACCTTCTCAGGAAATGTACTCTTCCGTTCAGAATTAAAACTGTATTTATCTGTTTATATTGCGACAGAGGTGCCTACATCCAAAACTCTAGGTTTTCCTTAGTTAAACCTAATTAATATCCATAACTACTGGCAGTCCCGCCACGTAGTGGCTTCTTGTTACGGTGTGACAAGCCGTTGCTTGATTACACTGTGGTAAATTATCAATTGCGACCCTGATTATACGTCTCCATCGCCAACGCTTGGCTTGCCAGTGGAAGTTGTGACTGTTAGTAAAGGTGTGATGAAGAAGATCAAGATGCAAATCACATCAGAACTGAAGTTTAATTATGGCGAAGAATTTTCCGGGACTGATGAAAAAATCTTACCTCTGTCCTCGTTAATCTGCGCGTCCTCTTCATCGTGATCGTCATTTATCTGACCTCTCACCTTATAGAGGTTTACATCCTCTTCGAGATCTATAGAGTCTGCAATCACAGGATGTAGTACATCCTCCACTACTTCCTTTATCACTCATGATCGTCATTTCGCGTCTCTGACATCGTGGCAAGTCATTAAATCGTTTCAAACAAAACGGTATTCACACGTCGAAGTTTTTATATTTTGACAAATCCAGCTCGAGAGTAAGCACTGACGTGCGGTACTTCTGTTGAAGCGGCATTTCCCTCCTGGGCGGAGCTAAAGCTACAGCTTTTGCGAGTGTTCTCGCCGCCTAACCAGGCATAGCGCGTGCAATCGCGTATTCTTGCCGCCCGACAGGGCAAGAAAAATTTGATCGACTTTTTCCAAGAGTTGAGAACTCTCCTCGCCATAATGATAGCCGATCCAACACCCGAGGCGATCACAGTGATCGTCTTCATGGAGGGCCTCCGCACTGGCGTGGCCAGAATGGGTGTCTTTCCTGTGCATCCGTCTTTTTTTGAAGAAGCGGTGAATTTGACATTGAATGCCGAATTCAGCTTTAAGCCTGTACGACTTGGTTGGAATGCACACCGGCCTTCGAGCTTGGAGATAGCTAGTGCCACGCGCTGTTGCTCGTTCTAGAGCATGGTGGATGGCATGGCCGAATCATCCTCTCTCACCCAGAGCAGGAGATTTCCTCCATCCACACCCTCGAAGGTCGAAACGCTCACCATGAGCGGCCTGGGCCGGGAGGATTCATCCCTTGTCGACGGTGGCGTCATGGACGCAGTCGACGCCGACATCTTTTGCTGAAGGTGCTTTAGCAAAGCATTTTCATAGCTCGAAAACGCCTCTTGGCGCGCGATAATAGCTTCAGATTCTTGCGAAACAAGGTGTTGCACACCCTCGGAGCCAAGCAAGGACATCAACCTTTTTGGTCCATTTTGTATACCCTGGGACAAATAGGAGACTTGCTCCATCCTCACAGAAGATCAGTCGTTACGACTCAGGTGTAGATTGACTACGAGAACTGCCAAGTGCAGCGGGGCTGCCGTGGCTCATTGCTTAGAGAAAGCTTACTAAGGTCATCGACCTTACGTTTTATACTAGACCTGAGTGTAGCGGATCGCAATTCGCTACCTCCAAGAGTACCCAAAACCATAACTCAAGGTAGATGTACTCTTCGTTCAAAATTGAAACTATAGTTATCAATTATTTTTTTTTCAAAACTCTGTTTTCCTATTTTAAGTGGTAAAACCTAATTAAAATGCATAACTACAGGCAGTCCCGCCATGTAGTGACTTCTTGTTACGGTGTAGCCACACCATTGTGTGATTACACCGTCTTGTGTAGTCCACACCTTGTACGGTCACATCATCTTGTGTGAACCACTCTTTCATACCAGGGTACGTGTAGCCTGTTACATCCCCGCTTCGTGCCCTGACGGCTTAGGAATCTACTGACAATATTGCAGCTCTCGTGAACGACGACCTCTAGGCTATACACACGAAATCGCCGAAGTTTCATGAAAACGGTCACAATAACCTTTCCATTTTGATCTTGGCTCTCTATTCTCGCTAGAAGACATTTGTCATAGTCGTTTCCACCCAAAGTAATTTTTGAGATGGCGGCGCTCCGACCGCCTCTCTTTACCCCTGCGCGAGTGGCAAACCTCGTGCTTCTTTCAACGAAAAATGATACGACTCGCGCATCGGAACCCTCGACATCGTACCGCTTAATACTAATGAACTAAAACCGACTCAGCAAGCCGAGCTTTTTCGCAGGCAATTGCAATGTTGACTATTGCTGACTAAATCAGGTAATGATCATAGACGTATTAAACAAAATTTGCACGCCGATCCATTGCGGAGTCCACACATACCTTTGCGTGAGACCTTTGCAGAAACAAAAATGCTTGTTTGAAAATTTATGTATCCGCGGAAAGCTGTAGTACGTCTGTAAGCATCACAAACATATGTGATTTGATATTTCAGCTGCTAAAAACATGAAGAACATTTGATTGTGTTAGCTGTTACTGCTGTGATAAACAAATGCTTCTGGTTCAATCAGGAACGCTAGAACTCATCCAGAATCGCCACAAACGTATGTGACTTGATCTGCTCCAGGAGCAGGTGGTAGGGTACTCCCGCCTTTTCTGAGGACTATACAAGGTACATAACGCTGGTTGCAATCTCGTTAATACTGTTGTTCATTGCATTTTAGTTGTTAATGACTTTCCAGTCTGGCATCTGCTTCGGTGGTGCTGCCTATAAAGATTGAGGACAGATGAGGCACATTGCCTCATTCATCCATGTTAAACTGTTTGCGGTAGTCTCTAAGGCACTGGATTTCGGCTGGTACTTCTTGCTGCGCACAGTTCGACTCATCTTAATTTGAGCTACTTGCAAAGTCTGATGTTGCGACGAGGATAATCATATCTCTCTCTTGGGCAGCTCGGCTGGGCAAATATGTCTATTTTGTAATGTCGGAAAGTACGCCAAGTCAATAGCGGCAACGACGACAGTCGAATTGGGAAATCAAATTCGCATGAGTTCTTGAGCATTTTGTCGCACCAGATACTAGTTCCAGCTGTAGTGATCCCGACGATTCGCTATCTGTTTCGCATAAAATTGAGCCGCTTCTTGCTCATCTAGCAGATCCGACGAAGGGCAGCTTTTCTCGTGGCTAAATTTCATAAGCTCTCAAAAATGGCAAGCTGTCGATTCTTATCGAGTGTCGCAGCGTAAGGCCGGTACCAATGATCCTCGTATTGATTAAGTTCTCTGAGCTTCAATATCGTATGAAATGGTCCAAGGGACCCAGAATCGCATCACAGCTTTTCAAAAATGTTGCTTAGCTACAGGGGGTTGTCGAGACTTTCTCTTGTCCATAATAGAGCATCGCATCTGAATGGCTGAGTAGAGCGGGATCGTTGTATGGCTTCAACAATTCTACGTGTAAATATATTATCTTAGCATTTCTGCCGAAAATTGAAATTAAAATTTCATACGCTTCAGTCAGTACCCTTAACTTCCAAAGCGACAAGGCCACGACTTGTTCCTATTAACAGTATGCACTGCACGTGTAGGTAGGTGACGTAGTGCTACTAAAACATTTCACCAATTTCGAAATCAAAAGTAGTCTATGTGTATCTAGCGTCTCCATGATACTTTGCACATCAAATCGCCCACTCTAAGCGTCGTGCGCCGGGCGCATGACGCTCAATCTTTTCGAGATTGTGTCCTTAGTTTGCTCCGATGTGTTGCCGGGCTGATATCAGCAAGTCGAGCTGTATCGACAGCCCCACCAACAACGCCAAAAGCAGTGTGTGGGAATGTCAAATAGACAGAGGGGTTTGCAAATCATTTATTGAGAATGCGGTAAAACCTGTAGAGGCATGTGCCGTAAAATTAAGCGCAGACTTACAAGGAGCAATATGCTTCAGCACCACGGAGAACATCTCCCACCACGCATTCAGCTCGTTGCGTTCCACCGTCTTCTTATGAATGGTCAACGATGGACGTGTCCAATATGGGGCAAGTTCCTTGAACAAAAATATTATGGATTGCTAACAACTGTCCAACACAATGGCAACCTGCAAACTATTTTGGCGAAAACTATGTGGCTGGTTCCTACCGGTATCTATGATTGGAGTGGTCTGAGCAAGATAGCTCAGAATACTACATTGTAGGCTCGCCAAATAAATCGCTCGGGAAACTAGAAACTAAGACCATACAAATGAAATGTAAATACTCTGCTGGTATTGGCAGCCTGATCAATGGCACCGGCGCATGCGGCAAGGTTTTAACACTTTGACACGTTTTGCATGCATACAATATTAAGTAAGCCTTGGCCTTAAGGAGGTAATCAAAGACTGTCGTATGATCAAGTTTATGATGATGAGTTACGTCCCCCCTTTTTAGGGGTCGTGTAAGCCATGTCAAGCACGTGCTGTAGGGTTTTCATTACACTCTAACCCGACTCTACCCGGCCCCGGGGATCGAACCCGGGACCTCCTGGTCCTGAAATGAGCGGCGAACCACTGCACCACAGGATCGGTAGTATGATCAAGTTTTTGCATGCTCCTTGGTCAGTGCGTTATGATTAATTAGTATTGTCGACCCAAATTTTGTTGACATTAAAATATCACACACACAAAAATTCCTATGCCACTAAATGGAGAGGAAATTGTTAGTGACATAGCTCCCCGAAGATCTGGATGAAGAAAGCCATGAAGTCTGCGAGTTTACTCACTGAAAAGGTAATATATCCAGCCGTACGCCGCGGAGATGTCGTTGAGAATTTACACGGTGTGCAAGTAGCCGATCCGTATCGCTGGCTTGAGGACCCCGATTCGCCAGAGACACGCGAGTTCGTCACGAAACAAAATGAAGTGACACAGCGCGTACTGACTAAAATGCCGTTCGTAGCTGAAACGAAAGAGCGTATGACGGAACTTTTCAACTATGAAAAGTACTCTGCACCACGTAAACATGGTGGCAAGTATGTTTTCTCAAAAAATGACGGACTGCAGAACCAAAGCGTATTGTACATCCAGGACGAGTTGCACAGTTCCCCGCGCGTCTTATTGGATCCCAATCTTTTTGCAGAGGATGGTACTGCCGCTTTGTCCAGTTCTGCATTTTCTGAAGCTAAACAACAAGATGGAAAGCTGTATTTTGCTCACGGGATCTCGCGTGGCGGTTCCGATTGGCAGACTATCAAAGTTATGGCAGTGCACGATAATCACAAAATTGTGGAAGACACAGTGGAGTGGGTGAAATTCTCTCGAATTGCATGGACCCATGACGACAATGGATTCTTTTACTCACGCTACCCTCCTCCTGAGAAAATGAAAAATCACGAGCATGATGGTATAGAAGGATACAAAAGGGGAACGGAAACGGATGCCAATATGAACCACCAGGTCTGGTATCATAAGTTACACACGCCACAATCTGAAGACAAATTGGTGTACGCGTACCCAACTGAACCAACGTTCACTGTCAGTGCCGAAGTCTCAGACGATGGCAAAAAACTTTTGCTTTCTGTACATGATGGATGCAAGAACGCGAATATGATACATGTCGCAGATCTAAGTGCTTTTGAGCAGTTTTTGAATGGCCCAAATGACACATTGATCGTAGTAACGAAACTTGTGGATAACATGGATGCAGCATACTCGTACATCTTAAACGATGGCGAGTTCTACTACTTCAAAACCAATGCTCAAGCCCCACGTGAGCGTGTAGTGCGCGTGAAACTTAGTGACGATAATGCTGAAATTGAATGGGAAGTAATAATTCCAGAGCAGCCCGAAGCAATTGTGATTGAAGAAGTGCACCCTGTGGCGCCAAATTTATTAGTTGTACAGCTCGTGAAAGACGTACACAATGAACTGCACGTATACAACCTTGATGGAGAGTACCAGTACGAGATACCTTTGCCCAGTGTGGGTACAGTCGGATTGTCCAGCAAACGAACTGAGTCAGAAGTGTTTTACCACTTCATTTCATTTCTTTATCCCGGATCAATATTCCGTATTGACCTCTCGAAAGGTAAGGCTGCGCCGAACGCCGAGCTCTTTCGTGAGACAAAAGTGAAGGGTTTTGATCCGAGCTTGTTTGAAGCAAAGCAAGTATTTTACCCGTCTAAAGATGGTACGAAAATCCCCATGTTTCTTGTGAAACAAAAAAATGCTATCAAGGACGGAAATTTGCCCGTGTACTTGTACGGGTACGGCGGCTTTAACATCTCACTCACTCCAGCGTTTAGCGTTTCGAGATTGGTGTTTTTACAGCACTTTAACGGCATGTTGGCTCTTCCAAATTTACGAGGCGGTGGCGAGTACGGAGAGCAATGGCACCAAGATGGAATGTTGCACAAGAAGCAGAATGTCTTTGATGACTTTCATAGCGCTGCCGAGTACTTGATAAAAGAAAACTACACGAATTCGGAGAAAATTGCTATTCATGGTGGCTCGAATGGTGGGTTGCTTGTAGCAGCTGCAAGTAATCAACGTCCGGATCTCTACCGTTGCGTCGTGGGAGCTGTAGGTGTCATGGACATGTTGCGATTCCACAAGTTTACGATTGGCCACGCCTGGCGAACGGACTACGGAGACCCGGAAGTGGCAAACGATTTCCACTACATCCTTCGCTACTCGCCTGTGCACAACGTTCCGCATGCCGATAGTCCCGCTATGCAAAAACTTGCGGAGCGTGGTGGGTTCCCATCCGTACTATTGACGACGGGTGACCACGACGATCGAGTCGTGCCTTTGCATTCGTACAAACTGATTGCAGAATTGCAGTACCAGCTTGGCAATTCTGAGTCGCAAACGAATCCTCTACTCATTCGCATTGATACAAAGTCTGGCCATGGAGCTGGAAAACCCACGACCAAAATCATTGAGGAAACTTCCGAGGTATTTGCGTTTATCGCGTGGAACCTCGGCGCACCTTTTGTTGCTTGAGCTGAGCGGCAACCTTGAGCAGCCATATGCTAAACATGAAGCTCGATCAATAGTGACCGTGCGATTGCCCGTCCTTACAGGTCAATAATGCATAAATGCAATTCTGAATCAAATGCTTACAATTTATGCTCATCAAACTTGTCAAATATACCTCAACAGTTTTCAAAAGGTACATCTTTCACACCATCCAGTGCAACTTTGCATGCTAAAAGCGCGTCAGGGTCACACAAAATACTCACTGGAAGACTGCCTTGGCATCGTAGTTGCTCTTTCGTAGTTGCTCTCAGCTCGTATGTGTTGGCACCTTGCACGCGCATTGTGCACTCCATGGCTTTCTGCAGGGTCAAGAACGCATCGTTGAGTTGGTCAGTCGACAGAGAAGCAAACGCTCGTTCCACTCGCGCCACCAGTTCTGAAAGTCCCGTCATCATAGTATTGCGTATTGTTAATTGTGCTTTCAGTGCCGTCTGAATGAATTGAAATAATGTGCTGTCCATGACGGTAAAGTCTGGTGAATACGGTGGGAGATGCTGCATTTGGATATGCCAGCCTTCTTTTCGACATTCTTCAGCAAAGATTGCATCACTAGAGCACCGAATCTTGGCACTATCTTGCTGAATAAAAATCGAGAAGTGTACTGGCATTTTTTGTCGAATAGCGGGGACAATAAGCTCATTAATCATTCGCTGTACGTCGTCTTTTGTCACCGTCTCCATTGCGACAAACATTCGTTTTTGTTGTCCCAATTTTCCATCACTCTGTGTCACCAACTCCTCACGGACAAATGGCCATGTACCAATCTTGCCATTGAAATAATTGTTTCTCTGTGGATCCCATTGTGGACGTGCCACTGCAACCATAAACATGACTTTAGTTTTCTTGTCGCGTGGTAGCGCGAACCATTTCATATTAATATGCACGACATTATGCATGTCGTCAAAAAGACCATTAGGTCGGACTTTGTCAATACAATAGCGCAAACGCTCGAGCTTATTCTTGTCTGTCAAGGACGGTTTAATGGCATTAAGGACAGGATTACCGTCGTCCTTCAGTAGCTCGTAAAGTGTCGTTTTGGGAATACCAACTGCTGACGCTAACGCTCGGATTGACCCTCGCTGAGTCAATGGAATCTCTTTGACGCGTTTAAGCTCCGCTGACCAGTCGCGCTTTCGCCGACCACGGCGTCCGACTTTTCGTGACGCAACATCACACACTTCATCTCCATTCTCCAAGCTTTGAACTGCACGTTTCCAAAGTCTTGATACAGTACGGCGATCAACAGCAAATTCCGTAGCTGCATCCGTGACAGCATGTCGCATGAGTTTTGTACTGCCTTCAACCCGCCGTTTCAAGAGGAAATCGAGCATGGCACGACGTTCCTCGTACGTTAAGTTTCTGCTGCCGCGCTCCTTCCACGCGCTAGTTTTCTTGTTACATATATTGGAATTGCAGTTGTCGACTGTGGTCGTCGTGGACACTGACAAATAGATCTCAGTTGTTGGATTCACGCTTGAAGACAAATCGGTCATGTTGATTTTCTCAAGGTTAAGTGGAGAAGGCAATTTTACTTGGACGCAGCAAATCATTACCTTTTCTATTGGCTGGGAAAGAGAACCCTATTTGGTGTTGTACATAATTCTGCTAGCTCAAAATAATAACACAATCTCAATCTTTATACGCACATTTAACGCTCATACTTCCTTACTTGAAAAAACGCCTTATCAACATCCAGTGTTCAAGATGGACTGACACGCCAGCAAAGCTTCTTTCTTGCAAATGATGCTTATTGGCAGACTTCCATCGTGCTGTAAACTTTTTTTAGTCACGTCTTCCTGCGAGTCGAAATTATTTGATCCACCTGAAAGCAGAATGCACTCCATCGTCTTTTGCAAAGCCAAAAATGCATCGTCAATTTGCCTTTCGGTAACAGTACCAAATGCCCGTTCCACACCAGTAATTAGTGCTTCTAAAGGAGAAAGCTGCATTGTGATGTTTCGCATTGTCATCTCGACACTTATATGCTTGAGAATACGGTGATTAAGCACCACAAGCTCTGGGCTATAAGCAGGTTGATATTGCACCTGAATATCCCAGCCGTCTGCTTTTCCATGCTCTGCAATCACGGGATCATCCGGTGTTAAGCGCATTTGCTGATTATCTAATTGGATGAAAAGCGGTCTATTGCGCAACAAGCTCGGCATTTTCGTCTTAATTGCTGGAATAACATTACTTGTTATCATGGTTTGGATTTCTTTTTTCGTGATTGTTTCGAGCACACAGAACGTGTGTCCGGGTTGCGCGGACGTTTGGACCCATGGTTCTATACTAGGTTCGAGGTTTATATTCAACTGCGAATTGGTCACGACAAATGGCCAGACCCCAAGCTTACCATCAAATTGCCGCTGCCGCTGACAATCCCACTGAGGTCGAGCGACAGCAATTAGAAACATTGCCTTCGTCTTCTTTGCATCGCGATTGCCCGGCAAGAAACACCACTTGGTGTTGATATGTACCACATTGATCATATCCTCAAACACTCCACTTGGTAATACTTTACTTGAGCAAAATTTCAGTCGATCCCGTTTGTTTCGATCCGACAGCGGTGCTTTGATCACATTAGCCAATGTCTGTTTTGTATCATCCAGGTGATCATCTGCGATGTCTAATCGGCTGCAATCAAACTTGTCGTTTCGCAAAAGACGGAATAATGTAGTACGCGGAACACCAACCGCTGAGGAAAGAGCTCGAAGTGAGCTACGCTGGCTTAATGGGAGCTGCTTGACTCGCTCCATCGCGGCCGAATAGTCCTTCTGCTTACGTCCGCAATTACCACGCTTTTTGGACAGAACTTGTTTCATTACGACGTCAGCAGATGATCCAACATCCATTGCCATTTTCATACGATTCCAGATACGTGATACAGTGTTGCGATGTACTTCAAATTGGTCTGCAGCAGCGGTAATGACCGCGCGTGGTAAACGAGCCTTACCTTGGCTGTGCTTTAGCAGAAACTCGGCCATTACAAGGCGCTGATTATCCGTTAAATTTGGCTTGCGGCGAACTGCCTTGTCGTCTGACGGCAAATCGGACGGAAGACTACCATCGTCCAGCAGCTCAGCGGCTTTCAGAAATGCAGACGGGTCTGCCATCTGCTCGAGTTCTATAGACTTTCCATAATGTTTAATCAACGAATGTATTAATGGCGAATTTAGCAAGTTGAAATTGCTGTTTTATCCAATTGAAATTACTCAAGCGTTGTCTCAAAATCATTTGCCATGCTGAAGTACCAGAAATGGTTATGTGCATCCGTCGTACTGCTCGCGCTATGGCTATTGCTACTGCATAATGCAAATAAATATGTTCAAGACGAACTCATGGTGCAGATGGTAAAGGCGCTACCCGTGCTTGGTCTCATATCATTTGGTGTATATTCGCTGGCGATAATTGCGCTTTCTGTCATGGCCGTGCAAGATGTTCCAGAAGCAGCTAAGGAGTTGGACAGGCAGGTGCTGGAGGCCAAGTCGGACTTGGCTAAAAAGGGATTTAAGTTTTAGGACATCACGAAGAAGAAGATGTTTCTAGGTGAATTGTTGCCGCTTGCGAGGTTAGTATGACATACTTATTACCCTACCTTGGACGATAAATACAGCTAAGAAAACGTATTTTTAAAGTGTAAATACATAAATTTTGTGAAGTGATTGGATCGCAGTAGTTTCATAAGACGCTACTCTTACGTAAGCGCGGCACTTCAATCCAGGACACAGTGCGGTCGGTTCCTCAGCAAACTCGTGTCTATTGTCCGAAAAGTCTGAGCGCTAGTGTAAGGATCGAAATAAGATACAATTAAGTAAGTGATATTCCATGGGAGGCGAGTGCGTGCCGGATCATTGCCGCGAGTGTGGAAGCAAAGACGTGGTGACGGACTTTAGCGCAGGTGATGTAGTGTGCCGCAACTGCGGTATGATTCTTGGTGAGCGAATTATAGATGATTCCCCCGAATGGCGAACATTTGCTAATGATGATCGGGGTGGTGATCCCGCTGCGAAATCTAGGGTCGGCGATATCGCTGATGCGCGACTAGACAGTATTTCGCTGTCCACGTACCTGGTCGACCCCAAAAAGAGCGGCGGGAGCGCTGATGGCGATGCAGGATGCAA